TATAAAAGGGGGTGCTAATGCAGACATTATTTGCTGAGTTTTTTTAACACGTGGATAATTTACCACGTTGTCATCCACCGCCTTCCAAGTCTATCAAGCCGAGTAAGCAAAGGGGAAGAATGAATGCATTTACAAGAGGAGCTGCCTAAAGATCATTCACAGAGTGAGATACACATGCAGGGGGAGCTGACTCCGTTGTGAACCACCTGCCGAAGCCACTACTGTGGGAACAGTTGCTGAAACTGTGGCACTTACTATTGCAGCAGTTGATGCCACTCTTGTTGTAGAAAGAGTTGATAATGATCTTTGTTTTATTGCTTCCGTCTATCATCTGATTGTTTTATTTTCTCAGGTATTTGATTAAGGGGAGGACTTGATTATAATAAATAGATGACAAAGGGGGAGATTGTTAGAATCCGAGAGGATTCTAATTTCGGTTTTTCAGCACGTGTGTGAAAAACGTGTGTCTAAAGCTAGGGAAGTTTTCTTAATGCTTTAAACTCTTATTTTGTCATTAATTTATTTAATTACATAAAGTGATGTGTTAACAAGGAATTTCTATGACTAAGACCTTCCTTTGTTATACAAATCCTTTTCCTTACGTGAATAAGAATCCCTAACCTAATGGATTTTATTTCATTGGTATTTTATATTTTATGGGAATTAAGTATTCATTAGTAGTGGGCTAATATTTCTTTTCTATTAAAACTCTTCTTTGTACGTCTAACAATAAAACCTAATGGGTTTCTTTATTTCTTGTATAGGAAGATTCAATCACGTATAAAAAGGAAGACATCAGAACGTGATTGTGTGCGGCTTTTCGGAGAGAAAAATAATTCTCTTTTCTTTGTTGCTCTTCCGGAGTTTTTCTATCGAGAGAAGATTTCAGAGAAATGTTTTTTTCCTCTCGTTTTTATTGCTCCATCGTGATACGTGATTTTCATAGAAAATATATCGGCTTCAAGGCTTTGTGGTGAAGACACCAAGATTCAACGAGTATCACAAGTTTGCTTCTTCTATACAAAAAGAAGACCGGTTCTTCGGGAGAGGGGCTTAAACAGATCTCGGGAGGAGATCGATCCGCCGACTGAAGAAATCAGCATTGAAGGGAGTTCAACCGTGCGGAGCAAGGGACGTGCTGCAAATTGAAGATTTATAATTCAGCGTAGTATACAAGAACGGCGTCAACAAAGAGGGAGTCTTTGTATTTTGATTAAGTCCTATTATTGTATTCGTAAAACTAAAAATTAGTAAATTTTATTTGCAGGTCCCCGTGGATGTAGGGTACAGTTGTATCCGAACCACATTAAATTTGTGTCTCGTTTATTTCTGTTTTTACAAACTGTTTCACGAACTGTTGCAACACTTCACGCAACAGTAACGAAAAAACTGAATCTGACACAAATAATTTATATATGCACGAAATAATTCTAACAGTAACATCCAAGGTACTCCGAACCCAATAGCTAGCTCCATTAACGCACACTCCCGGTGCACCTCTTGTTCGACAACGGCTAATGGATTGATCGTATTTAATCCGTTTCTTCATGAGTTATTCTTACAAGAATATACCGCGTAGGATTTCCCATCAAGAATCGCAACCTTAAATCATTTGTGATTGGATCATGAATCATGATAAAGCCCGTATCTTGAACTAATCGTGTCGCATTCACCGGGGAGCCGAAGGGCTTTCTCTTCTCCAGTCGACGGATTCCACAATGCAAAATTCATTTGAGTATCAATCCATCACAGAATCATAATACCATTTCTAGTAATTTTACAATTTGGAGTTTTCGACCTTGTAACCCCAGTTTCCCGAGTTATTAACCTTTTCAATGAACATCTTAACTTCAAAGTTTGAAGGAATACAGTCAGCTATGCTAAGAACATCAACATCAGTTTCGATTGGCCTAAAACAGTTGTCATGTTTTAGCCAAATTTTGAAACTTCCCTTCTCAGTGTACCCTAAAGCATTTGGAAAATCCTACATATCAAATATACGAAATTGGTCAATATCCACAAAATCAAAACATTCTACTTGCCCTCCTATATATATTCTAGTTGGTTCATGCCTCATAATTCCACCATAAAAAAGATTTATGCTAAAACATGTGTGTTCACCCATTTCAGCTAAGTTTATTATTTGGGTGTTTGAGGAAGAAACAAATCAAAACAAAAAAACAAAAAAAAAGTAAAAATGACAAAACAAAATTAGACAAAACAAAAATCACATTTTCACACAATTTAACAACATAGCTACAAAGTTAAGGATACTTACGGTAGTTTGGAGTCCACTGAAAGCCGGATTCACTCCTTCTTGACATTTTTTTCTCCATAAATCACCCAAAGCAGCGCAGTGTCTGAGAAGGGAAAAACTCTTTAAATGTGAAAATGTTTGGATTTTTTTATGGGTTTATGACTTCGAGTTTGGTATGGATTCGAGCAAGAATGCAGATTGGATTGAAAATTTGGGAGTGGGTTGAGGAGATTGAAATTGTGAAATATGGGAAACTTAGGGTTTATGAGAATGAAACGTGAACTGTGAATTGGTAATTTGGGAGAGTGAGTTAGAGGAATTAGTATATTCGTGTGTCAGGTCAACATTTAATATTCAATATATTATTCCACGACACATTTAACGGCCACATAGAGTAATCAAAAGTGACAAGTTAAAGAACATATTTCGTGTGAATTGAAATATTTGAAGACATAAATTATTTTAGTGGTAAAGTTTAGGGACATAAACTGTAGTTTTCCTATATTAACTGCGTACTATTCTAAAAATATCCAACAAAATTAGTTGGGTATTTTTGTAAGGAAATCATCGCCAAACTTCCACTTCTGACCATGTAAGTATTTTTCATCATAATTAATGATTGAAGATAATTATTTTACAAATATTGGATACATTTTTAAATCCAAAAAAAAAAAAGAGAGAGAGAGATATATGGAAATAGAGACTATCTATATATCAAGAAACAAGGATATATTGGCTTGCGCGGTAAAGTGCAACCAAAATAGTATTTCAAAAGGGGAGTATCCGATCCCTTTTTTGAATTTTTTGGGTGAAAAGTGCAAAAAACGGAAAATGACATTGAACTAGATAATGTATGAAGAGAATAAAACATAATAAATTAAGTGCTAAATAATACTCTATTGCAAACACTTCCGCTTCCTATTCGGCTTCGATTTCGATTTTTCAATGGGGAAGTACAAAGTCTCCATATATTTAACCGGAGGCATAGCAATTTCCCAAACCGGCGTGTCCTTTTCAAAAGCTTCAAAACTCTTCTCGCAAGGGTTGTAGATTACTAATCTATCACAATCTTTTCTGAATACAATCTTATTTTCGATAAAACATAGTGGCTCCAACTCCGAAAAAATCGACACATAGTCATATTCAACCGTTACCAACTCCTTCCAAGAACTATTATCTATGCCGTTTTCCTTTTCCCAAATCCGAACCGTGCTCTTCTCTACGCCTTCGAAATAGCAATACAGGCACAAAGAGTCCCTCAAATTAACCAAGAAAGCCACTCTGTCGTCTACTTGTTCCGGCTTATCCAGCATCTTGAACTTGTCATCTCTCGGATCAAAATACATTATTTTTGTAGTAACGGATCACATAACCCAATAGCTAGCCCCGTTAACACAGAGTCCACTCGGATTTGTGATCGTTAGACCAAGACCATCGTGTTTCTTTCTCAGCGTAATCCAGGATTTGTTCATGCAAGAATAAACCGAGTAGTGGTGCCGATCCAAAACAACAACCTTGAAATCGCCGGTGTTTGGATCACGACAAAGCCCGAAAGATGCGTAACAACAACAATCTTTGTTCCAAAGCTTTTCCGCGGTTCGAGTGGATGGATTCCACAACACAAGCCTCCTGTATGGAACGTTGGTTAAGAGTAGTATGCCGTCACAAAAGCATAATACCGACCCACATTCGAAGGGGGGGACTCCGTTAATACTCCTAGGGTTTGGAATTTTTTATCTTCCAATTTAACCGCCGAAAACCGGATAAAAGAACTCAAATTCGAACTACGTAGGAAAAGGTTATGCGAGTTCGATTCCTTAGATTTTTGGATTTGATTTTTGACGAATAAAGGATCGGAGATCATCGTATTCCATGACTTTGAAACTGATTTGAATCGAAGAAGAGATTTCACCGGTAAGTTTAATAGGATTGTTTCTATGATTTCCGGTGGTATTGTTTTGCATAACGTGTGTGTATATATATATATATATATATATATATATATATATATATATATATATATATATATATATATATATATATATATATATATAAACCCCTCATGTTTGGAGGAAAAAAAAAGGGTAAATTACAACCACCCCTGAGATATGGTCAGATTACGAAACACCCCCTTTTGTTTAGGTAATTACAACCACCTCTCAACTATAAATCTTCTTACATAATTCATCCTCGTGGTTTCAAATTTAGTGGAATTTTCTAAATTATATGAAATATTGTGGACCCGATTTATTCCATTCGAGCTCCACATTTTGAAGCTAGATGATCATAAGATGTGTTTTTTTGGCTTGTATATATCAGATTGTGGTGCATCAGAAGCTGCATCTTTGTACAAAACAAGTATAAACTAGATAGTATTTCACGGAATCTAGATGATTATGTTGAATTTGATAACATAATGGTGGAGACGTAAGAAGATTCAAAGTTGAGAAGTAGATATAATCATCCAAACATGAGGGGTTTTTTCGTAATTTGACCATTCCTTATGGTGGTTGTAATTTACCCTAAAAAGAAAAAGGATGATTTTTTATTTTTGATTTTTTTCCAGCTATATATATATATTCAGTGCAGTAGGAAACGTGTCCAATCAGAATTGGGCCAATATAATAACTCTACCGGTGACCAAAGTCAACGACCTAAATCGTTAACCCTAATTATAACCCTCACTTCAATTCATCAATAATAACAATTCCAGAAAAAAAAAAAAACTCTGAAAACCCTAGGCATGGCTGTGGAAGAAAATAATTCAGTTCTTCCACCGGAAATCATAGAGTTCATCCTGTCGAAATCAACATCGAAATCTCTCCATCTGTTCAAAACGGTTTCAAAGTCATGGAATATTCTAATCTCCGATCCCGTATTTCGGCGAAGCCATCTCCACCAATCAAGGTACTCGAAATCGCGGAATCTTTTTCTACGTAGTTTCGACTCCAACAACTCCCATGCATGTTTTTCGTTGGTTAAATTTGAAGATCGAAAGTTCCATACCGTACAACAACAACTCAAAGTCCCCGATAACTTCACCAAAATATTGTGCTTTTGTGACGGTGTGCTCGTCTTATCCAAATCCGACTCGTTGTACGATAGATTTATGTTCTGGAATCCGTCAACTCAGAAAATATATATTTCTCCATTAAAAAAATTCAAGCCAGCTTGCAGTTATGGGCTTTGCCATGATCCAACGATTGGTGGTTTTAAGTTTATTATCGTATACGGGATGCTCTACTTTGTTATTTCGTGCAACGGCAAACGCTGGACTCTGACTCGAAAAATAATGGAACACAATATGCATGGAGAGATGAGTTCTCCGGTTAGTGTTGAAGGGGTTGTCTATTGGGTTAAATGGCACTTGGATTCTAGAATTATTAGATATCGGATAACGTATTTCGACCCGAAAGACGACAAGTTCAAGATTTTGCAGAAGCCGGAAAATGTGGTGGAGACGACGAAGTTCTACTTGGTTGATTTGAGAGGGCGCTTGTGCCTGTACTGCAACGGCCCCGGAAACAATATGTACACGGTTAAAATCTGGATGAAGGGAAAGGGGAGGGGCAATAGTTCTTGGAACGAGTTGGTAACCATTGAGAATGTGGAGACTCCGATTTGGTGGTTTAAGCCACTAGGCATCGTGGAGAATAAGATTTTAATTCGTTTGGCATCGGTTGCAAAAACGTTGCTATACAACCCTTTTGAGAAGACGTTTGAACAAGTTGAAGATCTTACTTTTACGGAATTGGTTCCGTATATGGAAAGTTTGTTCTTCCCCGACCCGATAATTTGAAGGTATAAATTTTTTGCAGATGACCCCCTTGTACTTGTGATATCAACACATAATCCCATTGTGGTTGATGGGGTAGCTTTCATTAATTTTTCCGTCAAACTTAACTGTCTGTGTCCAACGTCAAAGTAACTTTCATTTTTCCTTTTATTTTTGCAGATGACCACCTTGAAGTTTGACACACGCGGTTAAATTTGACGAAAAAACTAACAGAAACTACTTCATAACCACAAGGAAGTTATGTGATGATATACTAACACAAGGAAATCATCTGCAAAAACTTGTAACCACATAAAGTTAAGTGTTATTTACCCTATTTTTGTGTAATAAATTAAGCCTCAATTCTTGTTTCTGATTAGAACTAATTTAATTTGGGGATTTAATTCGGTTTCAAAATTCTATACATTCCACGGAACATGTGGTTATTTTTTTTTTATTCATGGATATGACTCATATATATATATATATATATATATATATATATATATATATATATATATATATATATATATATATACTCTCTCTCTCTCTAACTCATGTTTGTATTTATTTCCGAAATTAGATAATAGATAGGGATAATTACACTTTTCGTCCCTATAATTTGCCACTTACACGATTTTCGTCCCTAAACAAGATGAAGTTACAATTTTCGTCCCTAAACATGTCACTTTTATGCCGTTTTTGTCCCTCCGTCCATTTGTCCAGTTAGTTTGGACGGAAAATCGCACGTGCGCCGCACGTGACACACAAAAACACCTCACTTCCCCTCATAATGTTCAGATTTTCAGAATATTACATAAATATCCAAATTCTCGGCCAAATCCTAAGCCCAAATTTTCGAAGCAAGAGTTGTGCGTTAACCTTCTGTACAACTTCATTTTGCAACCGAAATTCTCTGCAACGAAATCTCTGAGGATGAGGGCTTCTAAAATAGCTCTTGTTTGTAGAGCAATTACTGCTAAATCTTCTCATGAACGCGGTATTTTTACTTCTTCTTTCTCTTTCTCCTGCCACAAATTTTCAACTGTGTCCAGAGCAGATTCGATTTGTATAAATGAATTAGATGATACTGTTTTCTTGATTCGTAAAATGATGAGAGTGCGGCCACAGCCCTCCGTTTTTGAACTCAACAAACAATTGCAAGTTATTGTCAAGATGAAACAATACTCCGTCGCCCTTAAACTGTTCGACGAAATGCGTCAATGGGGTGCCCCTGTAAATGTATACACGATGAACATCTTGATTAATTGTTGTTGCCATTTGAGAGGGGTAGACTTCAGTTTTGCTGTCTTTGGCAACTTCCTTAAGCACGGTTACGAACCAAATGTTACGACATTCAACACTCTCTTAAAAGGTCTCTTTTTGGATGGTAATGTGGCCGAGGCAGAGAAATTGTTCAAGAAGATTTTGACTTTGAAACTCTGTGAGCTAGACGATGTTACGATTCTTACTGTGATTGACGGGCTCTGCAAAGCTGGACGTGTTCATACTGCCCGTGATTTGCTTTTGTTGTTGGAAAAGACTATCTATAAACCCAGTGTTAAGGCCTATAGTGCGGTAATTGATTGTTTATGCAAGGGCGGAATGGTGGATAATGCACTCGAGCTCTTGTTTGCCCACTTTCTAATTGTGCTTTCAATGATGAATTCATAAGGAATTGAGAGGTTTCGAAAATTGGGGCTTAGGGTTTTCCGGAGAATTGGGGCTTAGGGTTTCTAAAAATCTGAACGTTTTGAGGTGTAGAGGTGCTTTTGTGTGTCACGTGCGGCGCACGTGCGATTTTCCGTCCAAACTAACTGGACAAATGGACGGAGGGACAGAAACGGCATAAAAGTGACATGTTTAGGGACGAAAATTGTAACTTCATCTTGTTTAGGGACGAAAATCATGTAAGTGGTAATGTATAGGGACGAAAAGTGTAATTATCCCTAATAGATACTTACACCACTGGATGAAATTGAACCGTAGAACTACGCATAATCACACACGCAATCATCTGTATGTGTGGTTAGTGGGTAGTTATTTAATCAAATCTACGGTTCAAATCCATTTCGTGTAAATAACCAGGTGTAGCATCTAACTACCCGTATTTATTCGTACTAAGTTCTCATGGATTTGACATTCTTTCCATTACAATATCCGATTTCATCTGTTCTGTAAATTTAGATTATCAGTTGTTTGTTAAGCTTTTATTAGTTATAATTAGGTGACTTACGAATCCAGATACTATAGGATTGGAATCTGGCGATAGTATGATTCAAGGGAATTGAACATTATATTCCCGGAACGCATATACAAAAAACTAGAGTGGCAAGGGACCGATTCGACGGTAGTGTAAACAACAGATATTCAATTTTTTTTCAATTTCCGATTCTACTATTTTTTTTTTTTCGTGCAAAACTCTCGAAGAAGGTGGTAAACGAAACCGGCATCAAATTTTAACAAAGAATTAATAATAGCCTCTAGCATTGGGCTAGTATAGATTATAGTTACACTCTCTTAAAATATAGCATAAGAAAACGAGTGTCTCGTTTATCGACTACCATATCTCAGCCTATTATCAAAACCGGACAGATAACTCTCGCTTCCTCTTGTTATTCGTCTTCATAACAGGGAAGAACAGACTATCCAGAATCGGGTACAACTCAAAGTTGAATAAATCGTTGTCTTCAAATTCTTCAAACGTCTTCTCACAAGGGTCGTAGCAGACGATTCTTGTACCTTCCAATCGAAGTACAACCTTATTTTCCACAAAGCACACTGGCTCGATCGAACGAATATGAATATTCTCCAAACCCTCGACGGTTATCAACTCCTTCCAACAATTCTCGAAAACGCCCTTCTCCTTTATCCATATCCGAACCGCCGTCCCGTCTCCGATTTTGCAGTAGAAACAAAGGCCGCCTTTCAAACAAGCTAATTGAAATAGGTCGTCGTCGTTTACTTGTTCGGGCTTCCGCAAAGTCTCGAGTTCGTCGGTTTTCGAGTCGAAACGCACAACTTGTTTCGTTTTCCTCTCGTCGCGCAACACCCAATAAACAGATCCGTCGACGGAAATTCCCGGAACGCTGCCGTGGTACGGAAAACCTAACTTCTCGGTCCACGAATTGCTCTTGCACGAAAAAACGGCGTACATCTCTTTACAAGTAATCACAACCTTGAAATCGTTTGTTGTGCGTTCGTAACAGATTCCGAAATTAATCGAACCGCTGTAGACGAAATCAGGCGGGAAGGAGAAACGCGCCGTCTTTCGAGTTGACGGATTCCACAAGGTGTATCCCCTCGTCCGCCAGTGTATCCAATTCCAATCCGACGACGTTAACAGCAGAACGCCGTTATCACAGCACAAGGCGTTATTCCATCCGTAGAATACTACTTCTTCCTGCAATTCTTTACCGTGAAATTTAACCAGAGAAAACCCTCGGTCAACGGATCTCTTGCGGAGAAAGAGATTCGGAGGGTTCGACAATTGGGGGTGGATCTTGGCGAAATCGGGATCGGAGATTGTTCTACGCCATGATTTCGAAACTGCTTTGAATCGGAGAAGAGATTTCGATGGTAATTTTAATAGAATACTTTCTATGATGTCGAATGGAAGAAACTCTTCTGTTGCCATGGCCGATTACTTCTTCTTCGACTACTGGTTTTAGGGTTCGGAGAGAAGTTTTTGAATGGTGGCGTGGTTTTTCAGTTTTTAAAATGGAAAAATTATACTTTTCACCCCCTTAAGTTTGCACCAATTCCACATTTGGTCCTGCATGTTCAGAAACATTACATTTGGTCCCTAATGTTTCAATAATTTAACATTTTTTGTCATTTCCGTCATTTTACTGTTAACTCGCAGTGATGGGCACTTGCTTGACTCCGTTAGTAATAACGTAAAATTGACGGAAACGACTAAAAGTGTTGAATTTTTGAAACATGAGGGACTAAATGTTTTTTTTTGTGAACATGGGGACCAAATGTGAAACTTGTGCAAACTTGAGGGATGAAAAATATATTTTTTTCTCTTTTTAAAATTTTAAAGAATCATTATTGGGTGGGAGATAGATAATAAATTAAGAAAAATACATTTGTATCCCTCAAGTTTGCATAGATTTCACATTTGGTCCCTCATGTTCACAAAAGACACATTTGATCTCTCATGTTTCAATAATAACACTTTTGGTCATTTCCGTCAATTTACCATTAGTCCGTCAGCTAAGACAGTGATGGGCAAATGCTTGGTTCCGTTAGTTTTAACGGAAAATTGATGGAAAGGACTAAAAGTGTCGAATTTTTGAAACATGAAGGACCAAATATGTTTTTTTTGCGAACATGAGGGACCAAATGTGAAATTGATGCAAACTTGAGGGATGAAAACTGTATATTTTGCCATAATTAATTTGGTAGGGATAGCCTTTAGATAATCTTCTAATTAAGGACAAAATTGCACTTTGCCCCGAGAAATTTTCATTGTTTTACTTTCCCCCTACAAAATAGAAGAATTTGGCCTTTCAAAATTTTGTTCTAATTGCACTTTGCCCCAAATTACAATTTTCGGCGTATGTTTCACCGGAATCGCCATTTATCCGTCCATTAAAGAGCATTTGAGTCATTTCATCATTCCCACCCAAATCCTAATATTCTTATATGTTCTAGCGGAAGAAAAATACAATTCATTCAATAATTTTAGAACAAAAAGGGGCAGTTTTTCACCGGAATTCACATTTTTCTCCGTTTTCAACTCATAATTTATTAACTTCTGCAACGGGATCACAATAATAGCTTATAAATGAAGAAGAAATAGAATATTCTCACAATTTTGGGATCACAGTATATACACAGTTCGTTTTAGGAGAAGAACCCCCAACTTTTTTGTTCTTAATGTTTTTATCATTATAACAAATGAGGGTATTAGCATTTTGATGAAAATGAAGAAATGACTCAAATGTCCTTTAAGTGGACGGATAAATGACAATTCCGGTGAAAAATACGTCGAATATTGTAATATAGGGCAAAATGCAACTGGAACAAAATTTTAAGGGTAAATTACAACTACACCCGATGTTAGCTAAAATAACTTTAAGGTTTATGTGGTATCGGTAATTACAATCATCCCTGAAACATTCTTAGAAACTCTAATGAGAAAATACATTGGATACTTTATTCCGATAGAGTTCTAACGGACTATTAGTTTCAGGAGGTGGTGAAGATAACATAGAGATAGGGGGTGAAACGACTATCCCAACATTTTTTAAATCACCGCTAGCTCCCACTAGAGCTTCTAACAATGTCTCAGGGGTGATTGTAATTACCGATACCATAGAAACCTTAAAGTTATTTTTAGCTTACCTCAGGGGTGTAGGTGTAACCTTTTTGAACTTGTATGGGAGGAAAGTGCAAAAATTGAAAATTGCTAGGTGCAAAATGCATTTTGTCCTCCAATTAGATATGGAAATCGAAAACTCATACGAATCCTCTAGCATTATTTTTAGGCTATTATTTTTAACAAAGAATCAATAATAGCCTCTCTAGCATTGGGCTATTATCGATCATAGTAATACTCTACTAAAATACAGCATAAGAAAACGAGTGTCTCGTTTATCGACATAGTAATACTCTACTAAAATACAGCATAAGAAAACCGAGTGTCTCGTTTATTGACTACCATATATCTCGGCCACTTATTACCAAAAACCCGACAAGTAACTCCGCTTCCTCTTGTTACTCGTCTTCATAACAGGGAAGAACAGAGTATCCATAAACGGAAACAACTCGATCCCAAATAAATGAGTATCTTCGAATTCTTCAAACGTCTTGTCACAAGGGTCGTAGCAGACGAATCTTGTAAATTCCAATCGAAGCACAATCTTATTTTCCACAAAACACAATGGCTCGATCGATCGAATAGGAATATCCTCCAAATCCTCGACGGTTATCAACTCCTTCCAACAATTCTCGAAAACGCCCTCCTCCTTTATCCATATCCGAACCGCTGTCCCGTCTCCGATTTTGCAGTAGAAACAAAGGCCGCCTTTCAAACAAGCCAACTGAAATAGGCAATCGTCGCTTATTCGATCGGGCTTCGGCAAAGTCCTGAGCTCGTCGGTTTCCGAATCGAAACACACAACTTGTTTCGTATTCTTCTCGTCGCGCAACACCCAATAAACAGCTCCGTCGACGGAAATTCCCGGAACACTGCCGTGGTACGGAAACCCTAACTTCTCGGTCCACGAATTGCTCTTGCACGAAAAGACGGCGTACTTCTCTTTACAAGTAATCACAACCTTGAAATCGTCTGCTGTAGCCAAAATCCCCAAATTAATCGAACCGCTGTAGCCAAAATCAGGCGGGAAGGAGAAATCCGTCTTCATCCGAGTTGACGGATTCCACAGGAAATATTCCCTGCTCCACCAGTGCACCCAATACGTCGACGTTAAGAGCAAAACGCCGTTACAACAGCACAACGCGTTGTTCCATCCGTTGGGGCTTTCCAAAACTGCTTCTTCCCGTACTTCTTTACCGTGCAGTTTAACCAGATAAAACCCTTGGTCAATCGATCTCTTGAGGAGAAAGAGATTCGGCGGGTTCGGGAATTGGGGGTGGATCTTCGCGAAATTAGGATCGGAGATTGTGCTACGCCATGATTTCGAAACTGTTTTGAATCGGAGAAGAGATTTCGATGGTAATTTTAATAGAATACATTCTATGATGTCGAATGGAAGAAATGTTCTTGATGTATTCTCTTCTTCTGCTGCCATGGCGGATTACTGGTTTTAGGGCTCGTAGAGAAGTTATGAATTGGCGAGAATTATTTGGCTTTTAAAATGGACCCACCCACTAAACAAGCGACACGTGGCTTGTTAGCGTAAATAATCAATCGAAACGGGTAAATAATCTTCTAGTTAAGGACGAATTAAAAAATTTCACTTCCCCCCTACGAATTAAAAATAAATACAAAACTGGCCTTTCAAAATTTTGTTTTAATTGCACTTTGCCCCGAATTGCAATTTCCGGCATATTTTTCACTGGAATTTCCATTTATCCGTCCATTAAAGGGCACTTGAGTCATTCCATCATTCCCACACAAATTCGAACGTTTTTTTATGTTCTAGCGAAAGAAAATACAACTCGTTCGCTATATTTAGAACAGAAAAGGATTTTATTTTTACACAATAAATAAAAATTGCACCGAATTACTAGAAGAAATTATATTTTCTTACAAAACAAAATAAAATAAAAATAGATTTTTATCACTAAATTGTTCGATCAATGAATCTTTTATTGTAGTTAGTGAAAATATTTAGTAGAAATCTTTGATATAATTTTCATGTAACTTGATAACAAAGTAGTTGAAGCATTTTTTTGTAAAATAATTATTTTGTGATAAAGAAAAATAATTCGATGTGATTTATTTTTATTTTGCACTTCATAGTTTTGGAATGATTGATGAAAAAATAATTTGACATTTGGCTTTGTAAACAAATACCACTAAAAAATATTAAAGGGTAAATTACAAACACCCCCTGAGGTATGGTCAATTTACAAAAAATCCCTCTTGTTTAGATAATTACATCTGCCTCCTTCAATTATGATTTTTTCTTACACCTCCACCCTTATGGTGTCAAATTAAACATAATCATCTAGATTTCGTGGAATGTGTTCTAGTTTGTACTCGTTTTGTGTAAAAATACAGTTTCTGATGCACCATAATCTGATATATGCAAACCAAAAAACACATATATATATTATGATCATCTTGCTTCAAAATGTAGAGTTCAAATGGGATAAAACGGGTACAAAAGTGATAATATTCCATATAGTCTCAAATATTCCACTAAATTTGAGGAGTTGAGGGGGGGTTTGTAATTTGACCATACCTCAGGGGTTGGTTGTAATTTACCCAATATTAAATTGTCTTTTATTAGCTTTAAAAATTCATTCGAGGTGCATTATGCATTATATATTGTGTTTCAAGGGTGAAAAATGCTATTATTTTTTTTCGAGGGTGCAAAGTGTTGAAATTCTATATTTCAAGGATGTAACTGTAAAATGAGATTAAGCCAAAATTTTGAGGAAAAAATCGATTTTGTATAATTTATACGGGGCGAAAGTGCAAATAATGAAAATTGCCAGGGGCCGAAGTTCATGTTGTCCTCCAATTAGGAAAGCTAAAACTCATACGAATCATCAACGATCAGAAGACTATATATACTCGCACGCTGCAAAACAATTTTAATTAAAAAAAAAAAAAAAAAACTCCCAGAAATTAAACCACGCCGCCATGGCTTCGTATGATGTTCCAAACGACATCGTAGAGAATATTCTGTTAAGATTAACGGCTAAGCATCTTCGTGGACTCAAAGCAGTTTGCAAATCATGGAATACTATGATCTCCGATCCTGTATTCATCCAAACACATCTCCACCGATCCAAGTATTCGCACCTTTTCCAATCTAAGTTGTCGTTGAATTATTACGGCGAAGGCGCGTGTTCGTCTTCGTCGTCGGCTCGATCGAGAGATAAGTACCGTTTGTTTGAATTGCAAGGCGAAAAAAAATTCCTAATCGTAGAAGAATTAGTAAGCCCCTACTCCGGCTGGAAGGCGGTTTTGTGCTCTTGCAACGGTGTATTGCTTCTAACCGACTCTTTGTCGAGACTATATGTGTTGTGGAATCCATCTATTCGAGCGGAGACGGAGATTTGGTTCCCGTATGATTTTTACGACCGTCACATGAGTTACGGGCTTTGTCACGACCCGACTTTCGACGATTTTAAGGTTGTTTTTATTTGTCTGGACTACTATGCTGTTTTCTCTTGCAAGAACAATTCATGGTCGATGAAGAACCGGTTCTCCTATACGGGGCGGGTAAAAAATTATTCGAGGGGAATCTTTGTTGACGGGGCGATCTATTGGGTTTGGAGGCGCGAGACTAGGGTTGAAGAAATAGTATATTTTGATCCGAGCGATGACAAGTTGAGGGTTTTGGAGAGGCCGAAATATGTTGAGGAGAGAGGCAAGCCGATTTACTTGGCGGATTTGGGAGGGAGATTGTGCGTGTATTGCAACGGGAGGGATAAGTCGGTTGTTCGAATTTGGACAAAGGAGTTAAAGGGTTCAGACGGTGGTTCTTGGAAAGAGGTGATGACCGTTGAAAATGTGCGCGCGCCCGTTCGTTGGTTAAGGCCGTTGTGCTTCTTGGGGGACAAGATTGTAATTCGGTTGAATGTTTTGAAAATAGTGGTGTATTGCCCTCGTGAGAAGACGTTTGAAGAAGTTGGAGTCGAAGGCTTTCGGTTATCGTCTTTTGAATTGGTTCCGTATATGGATAGTTTGCTCTTCCCTACTCGAACAAACAAGCAAACGAGGAAGCGGAAGTATATAGAATCTACTTAAGGCTCAATTTCGTGTCCTTTTATTTTTTGGGAAAAAAAATTTCTTTAAAAAAAATTCAAAAACGTGATCGTGCATGTATTGCAACGCGAGAGACGAGTTGATTGTTCGAATTTGGACAAAGGGAGAGGGTATTATGGATAAGAATTCTTGGAAGGAGTTGATCGATGACGTACCGTTGAGAATGTTTCTCGGGAAACAAGATTGTGACTCGATTAAATGTTTTCGGAAATAGTGTTGTGTGAGAAGACGTTTGAAAGCGAACGAGGAATTGAAAGTGTTTAGAAATATAGATTTAGGCTCAATGTGTAGGCTTTGTAGAGAGTCTCTCTATAAGTCGATTTCCATCTCGTCAATTCGTGTTTCGTGTTTGTTCATTCTAGATTCTTATCGATTTTTGAAATACTCTCCATTGCGAATATTCATCTTCAATCTGTTTTAAAAAATTGAGATGCAAGTGAAATCCGATTTGTTGAGAAATTTATCGGTTCTCTGTTAGTTGAGAACGACAAGTGCAATTAATCGAGCTTTTTTTCTCCGACAATGCATTGTTCTTGCACGAAAAAACCGGGTAGTAATTTCAATACATGACAACAACTTTAAAATTTAGATTTATACGGTAACCGGTTCATAACACAAATTTATTGCCCGAATAGTCGGTTAAAAGTAGCTTACGGTCACAATCGGTTAAAATTATACGGGCCTTTGGATTCTTGTACGGTTCGGATTTTTCCATATTCAAATTAACCAAAGAAAAGTACTCGATCTTTGGATGACGTCTTACATAGAAAAAGATTAGCTGATTTTTCGAGATGATTTTCGACGAATACCGGATCGGAGATCATATTTTCCATGATTTGCAAACTGTTTTGAATCGAAGAAGAGACTTAAGTGATGGTAATTTTGACAGGATAATTAGAAGATTAATCTTTCGATGAAGAAAAATAAAATAAAATCAATTAATTAATTCCATAATCGTCTTACAATTTGATGCAAATTATGTGAAGGATGGAAATTCAGAATTCCAAAGATTATATATCACATTACGATTCCCATCCGATTTTTTACCAAAAAAATTGGAAATCCGGAATTGAAAAAACCGTTCCAAATTTGAGATTTTTCATAAAGGAATCGGCGGAAATCGGAATTTTGTTCCAATTTTCACCCCTAATTGTGACAAATATGTACCTATCCCACCTTAGACTGCAAAAGGTGGGGGATTATTTTAATATGTTTTATAGTAATAGGGTGGCTAAATGAAATGACCAATAATTTAAGGGGTCAAAGTAAAAAAATAATTCTTTCTTTTTTCGAATTGCTTGAACAAAATAATTAACGAAATCCCTAATTGAACAACTAGCAACAAAATCCAAATTATCGGCAATCATAAAATCGCTTACGAATCGTTTGCCTCGCAATTCTTGGAAAAACCCAGCCTCCTCTCAGCTAATTTCTCGTCCACCTCGCCCAAATTGAGAATTTCTCTCTCTACGCCTCACTACTGAAGGTGAGTATTTCTTTTCGTAGTTGGAATTGATTATTTATCCTTAATTTTACGGCGATTCAGTGTAGAAGATACTTCGAACCCTTAGCCGCTGAATGATTTTTCATATTACCTGCGCGTTTTTGTTCTGTTTAATGTTTTGTTTCTTACTGTCATTCTGATTTTGAATTTTTGCAAAATAATTTTAACCCTTTAGTTCTTTTGTATGGTTTTTGTTGCTGAAGAAGCTTGGCCAACTGGGTTCCCTTTTTGAAGTTTGATTTTTTTATTTTATTTATCAAACTCATGCTTGTGATGTATACATTTCCGTTTTCGTCGTTTTCAACTGTGGTGGTACATGAATGATTTCTTGTTAGTTGTGAAGAAAGTTATTATAGTTATTGTAAATTAAGGAAAGAATGTAGCTTTGTGGAGCAGATTTTTCAATTGCTCACCTACTGTTTCACTAGTACAGTTTGAGCTTCCTCGATCAATGTGACGTGTTTTTAAATTGTAATCGACACGTTTATGTGACGTGTTTCATGGGATGTACTATGACACTATTGCTAGAACTTATTTTTATTCTCATGGTTTACAACGTCCAATTAGTGAATTCGGTTGCTAGCCGAAGGTGGGAAAGAAAGTATGTTATATAGTTCGTTTTTAAAGTCATTCGTAAATTTCGGACTAGTCAGATTCGTACGTATGTTTGATCTGAAATTCTTTGAATATATAGGGAGTGTGTTTTCGTTACCAGTTGTAATTCTTTTTTTTTTTCTTTTAACACTTAAATCGGTTCTCTTGCAGAATCTATGTTAACACCTGGTTCCTTTGCAACTGGATCAGCAGTACAAGCGATGGAAGGAAACTCACTACATTCTGCAAATTTTTCTTTCAACGGAAATGTTCAGTCAGCACAGGCAGATCAACCGAATAGAACAGTATGTATTAGCTAAAATTAGTTTCTTTATTCCTTCAATTTCCGTGATAGTTTTTGTGCATGAGATGCGACACATTGTATTGATGACAATCGAACTTGCTATTTAGTTCCCGTCGTGAGTTTTTGGTTTCTCGTTCGCATTCGATATCAGTAGATGTTAGTTTGACTGTCATGCTGCACAACTGGTATTCATCAGTTCTAAGCTCCTTCTTAACTAATGTATATAATTAACAGTCATTTTGCTTAAATTTGTGCATAAAAACCTACATCAATTGTGCCTTAAAAAGTGGCAGTTTCTGACAAGTTCTTTCCCTCTTGCCAAGCATTGTCTATGATGTTATAATTGTTGTACTAAGTCTGACCAAGACTTATATTACGAAAACATAATATAAGTCTTGGTCAGACTCAGTACCTTGGCTGTGAACTTGTTCGTTATTCAACTGCTGCAGTGTTACAGATCTTATTCTCATAATTGGGTTAAATGCTATTAGCCATTTCTCGTAATTTAATTAATAGTTCTGTATTTGTTTCCGGCTGTAGAATGTGAGAGGTGACGGTACTCAAGAAACGGGAGCAATTACTTCTTCACCAGCCTTTATGCAGTCTTCTTCTTCTCAGCCCGCCCGTCCAAATTCAAGTCCCTCAACAACTCATTTTGCATCTAACAAGTTCAGCAATACCACATGGATGCCCACTGCCCCGACATTTCAAGTGCCTACAGGAATTCTCAAAACTCCTACACCGGGTCCACCTGGACTAACTTCCTCTGCACCTTCTCCGTCAAATCTAGATTCCGGTGCACTTATAAGACCATTCATGCATACCGGCCCTTTTCTCTCTAACCCTTCCATTCAGCATAATGCTGCTCCGCCTGGACCGTGGTTCCGTCCACAGCAGATCGGTGCTTTTGGTAGACCACCATTTTCACCATATGCTGCTGTTATTCCTGGTCCCTATCCAATGCCGACTCGTGGTACACAACCAGTTTCTGTTTCATTTCCTGATATTCAACCTCCTGGAGTTTCCCATGCTGCATCAGCTTCCATTTCTGGACCGACGGAGTTACCTCCTGGAACTGGTAAGCCCTGAATTTCACCTTTTTAATATTGTTGCATTTTTTTTAGTCAGGCTACTTTATTCTGTCATGTAATGCTGCGAGAATATTCTGTAGATAACAGTAAACATGGTGGTAATGCTGTAACAACCAAAGATGAAGCTCCTACCAAAGAATTGGATGCTTGGACTGCACACAGGGCAGAAACTGGGACTATATATTATTACAACGCATTGACGGGGGAATCTACATACGAGAAACCTTCTGGTTTTAAAGGAGAGGTACTGCAACCATTACTAGTTTCAAAAAATGAGTTTTAAGGGGAGTCTATGTATTTTTGCTGAAAGATTGTTGGACAAAACTGATAATTGCTGATGATGGTTCTGTTCATTATGTTTTATCTTCCAATATATTTTTCTTGATGGTTCTGATTGTATGTTATTTTTATGGATGCAGTCGAATAAACCAACTATGCAGCCAACTCCTATATCATGGTGAGTTCTCTAACAGAACACTACTAATTTTTGTACCTGGACTTCATCTTTTGCTATAGTTATATTTTTTGTGTCAATGTCCTCTTTATTAGCTCTCCTGTTATTTGTGTCCTCTTGACTGATTGGCTTATCGAGGAACTCTTCAAGCTAAATGGATAAACGTACTACTGATGGTTTGTGACTGATATTAATGAAGTCGTTAATTGTGTAATTGGTAGGAATGAAACAAGAGAGCTTCTTAACAGAAATGTAAGAGATGCAACATAGCTGTCCTCAGTGAAAAACCTAGGGAAACCTGTACTTGGATTCTAAGAGTTGTGTTCGAGATAGTAGCAACTATTTTTCCCTTTGCTCTTTAGGGATCATTACTACGAATTTCATAGCATGTTAATTTAACTGCCATTGAGAGCGGTCTTCTACTTTAATGATTCTGTTGTCACCTCTATGTTTCTTGAGTGCTGATTTAATTGTTGGCACTGGATACCTTTTTATCTCTGTAGAAACTAACACATACAAGTCAAACATAAATAAAGAGCTTTCTCATCTATTATTTCGTATATCTGACTAAACCCCGAAACTGTTTCTAAACCATGACAACTTTCTATATTCAGGTTATTCTGATCTCGTCTCATGTTCTTATGTACTCAGGGAGAAATTGATTGGTACTGACTGGACAACTGTCACCACTAATGATGGAAAAGTATATTATTACAATGCTGCAACCCAGGTATGATATAGTCAAATTCTACTTAAGATACTCCCCCATTTTGAGGCATTACCGAAATGAATAGTAGATAGAAGTTTACTGGTTTATCAATTGTAAGCTAGTTATAGGTTTTCCATTGTCGAGTCAGGTGCACGCTATCAATATGTCATATGCCTTAAATTGACTGGATTTATAAATAAATGCATTCGTCAGTAATTCTTATACGTAAATATTATAAAAGTTTCTATTGGAATTCGTTGTGAATATAAATGCTTTATAAATAACATTGACTGGATGAAGAGAAGTTGTTAGATTGATAAATTTTGGTGTGCATAGTGTGAATTTACAGACAATCAGGGTTGTATACTTGCTGTAGGATCATCAATGTAATACTAAGGAAAATTTGGATTTTCACTTTTGTCTTTTGCTTGTGTCGTCTTTGTTCGTTATGGTTACATCTTTGTAATTTCCTGTATTGACAGTTCATATTGTTTCTATAGCTTTTTCTGTGACGACTTTACGGGTAATCTTACAATATCATCTGCTTTTTAATCAGTTAAGTAGCTGGCAAGTACCTAGTGAGGTAACAGAATTGAGAAAGAAGCAAGATGCTGATGCTTTGAAAGCTCAATCATTGTCGGCAACATACACTAATGTAGTAGCTGAGAAAGGATCCGACCCTGTTAGTTTAAGTACGCCCGCTGCTAACACAGGTGGCCGTGATGCGACAGCTGTCAAATCTTCTAGTGTATCTGGTTCATCTTCTGCATTGGATCTCATAAAGAAGAAATTGCAGGATTCTGGACTCCCTGATTCTACTTCTCCAGGCCCATCTTTGTCAGAAATTAACGGCTCAAAATCAATTGAGTTTCTTGAGAATGAGAATAATAAAGATAAGCGCAAGGATGCAAATGGTGATGGTGATTTGTCCAATTCCTCTTCCGATTCAGAGGATGAAGATGGTGGTCCCACTAAGGAGGAATGTATCCTCCAATTCAAGGTTTTTTTTTTTCTTTTTTTTTTGTTAGGGAAAAACTAATTCTTTTATGTCAAATATTTATGCTCATATTTCACATCGTGTTAAATTCAGTTAGTTCTCACTTCTCATTTTTACTTTTGGAATTTCTAGGAGATGCTCAAGGAACGAGGAGTGGCTCCATTTTCCAAATGGGAGAAAGAACTTCCTAAAATAGTTTTTGATGCACGTTTTAAGGTATGTTATAAGTTAATTCTTTTATGGATGTGGTATTTTATATATCTCTGGTTTCTACATGTATGATTGTTACTTTATGTTCGAACATTTTAGATGTTTAGATCTACATGTTTTATTTTCATTTATTTTCTACATTCTCCTTGCATTGCTATCACCAAAGTCTTATAGAGTATGCTATCTTAACTAGATGAAATATTAATGATTAGTTGGTTCCGATTCGCATTTGTGCCATTTTGGTATCAATCTCTTCTAGAATTTATTTATCTACCACGCTTTGTATTCCTTAGTTTTAATTAAGCCAATCTGTGCAGGCTATTTCAAACCACAGTGCCCGAAGAGCACTTTTTGAGCACTATGTCCGCACACGTGCCGAAGAGGAAAGGAAGGAAAAACGAGCCGCTCAGAAAGCTGCTTCGGAGGGTTTCAAGCAGTTACTGGAAGAAGCAAAGGAGGTTTGATGCGATTGTCTCCTATTAAAGTATTCTCTGCTTCTTTTGGCATTTGAATTCTCGATGCACATTCGTGGATATAATATGGGGATTAAGACATGTCTTTTTAACGTTCAGGATATTGATCATAACACTGATTATGAAACATTTAAGAGGAAATGGGGACAGGATCACCGGTTTCAGGCCTTGGAACGGAAAGAGAGGGAGTTTTTGTTAAATGAGAGGTATGATTCATTGCTGCATTAATACTTATACCATGGTGCTAACTATATTTTTGTTTGCACTGAAAAGATACTTATCCATCCAATCTAACAGGGAAGGTTGGAGTAATTTTTAATTTAAGAGCGTATAATTATGACATCTAAAAGGGGGTTCTGTGTAATTTACAGACCATAGGTGTTGCAAGTAAATGTAAATAGTTCAAAAACATCGCAATAAGGGGAGGCGTTAACCAGCGAGTTATTATTTTATTTTATTTTTTTATCACTTAATAACCCACATTTAACAAGTTAGATAATTAGGTTTATGTCTCATAGACTTTTAGTAAGATAACAGAGTAGAAACTTAAAATTAAAATAAAAATATTAAACAACTGAAATAAAATTAATAAATAATAAAATATAAGTTGTTTGGTCGATATTACTCGACCAACCAATCCAATTATAAACTATCCAATTATACATGGGTTGGTTTAATTGTTAATTATCAATAAAAAATTATGGATCGGAAAGGGGTTTAATATGTGAATAAAAAAATATTAACCGAGTTCTTTAAGTTCTTGGATTTGTTTGATGAATGCAATGAAGCTTCAATATGTCCTGTAGACTACTTTTCATAACCTAAATTCTGCTTTGCTTTCAGGGTTTCTCCTCTGAGAAAGATAGCTCAAGAACGAGCTCAAGCAGAGCGTGCCGCTGCAACATCTGATTTCAAGTCGATGCTTAAGGACAATGGAGATGTTACTTCTACTTCCCGTTGGTCCAAGGTAGTTATTTTTTTTTTCTTTTAATAAAAAGTAATAACTGGTCTAATAAATCGGCCTACAATAAAACCCAAAGGGGATAGAATGTGGTCAAAGGTGGGTTTATGCCAAGAGGTGATGTTATTTATAGTTCTTGCTCAACTGTAAACCATATGTCATCATAGTTTCCACAGTCGTATATGAATGTTAGATAGCATGGAGATACTCATTGCCCACTGATATTGTAGATTCTTTCAGTCAGTACTTTTAAGGGTGAACAATCAATCGTTTGTCTCTCGTTAATGGATGGTGGTAAAACAGGTGATGATAAAACTTTTCTTACTTTAATTTTGTATAATTTATATCCCCAAGGATCGTAAATAATATAATTTGAAATGCGTATCTTGTGTGTTGTTTGTGTGTAAAAATTGCAAGCGTGAATAAGAATTTTGGTATTACTAGATACAAGTGAATTTTATTTCGTAGCTGTCGTGAAAATCTGTGAACTATTCCATTTTCTTGAAAGAATGCAAAATGCAGTTAGTTTCAACTTGTACCTTAAAAGGTCTGTTGTCTCTGATAGGTCAAGGATAGCTTAAAAAGTGATCCCAGGTACATGTCTGTCAAGCACGATGATAGGGAGAAATTATTTAATGAATACGTAGCTGAACTAAAGGCTGCTGAAGAAGAGACAGTTCGGAAAGCAAGGGCAGTACAAGACGAGGAGGTAATAGAAATGCCCTTAAAATTGCCAATTCTGTTTGAAATATGTTTTTTTTACATTCTCATTTGCTCCAGTTGTTTTTTTTTTAAATTATTTTATATATATAATTGACTATTTTAATTATTTTATTTTATTTTTATAGTTGAAAGAATATGATTACTTTCTTCAAAATGAAAAAAAAAATCACTTCCTGCTCTCTCTGTTATAGTAATTGATTCTGTCTCGAGCAATGGAGGAGGCCAGTAATTAGCGGATAAACTATCGATTTTTTTATTAAGTTATCTAATTTCTGCTTTCTTTGTTGTGTATTTTAATTGATTATAGGATAAAATAAAGGAGAGAGAAAGAGCTCTACGCAAGAGGAAAGAAAGAGAGGAGCAAGAAGTTGAGAGGGTGAGACAGAAAGCTCGACGGAAGGAGGCTATTGAATCGTATCAAGCTTTATTGGTAGAAACAATAAAAGATCCTCAGGTATTTTATATGATTCTTCGAATATCTCTATTTAATATTTGTACTATCTATCCTATCCGATTGGTCGAAGCTTTAAGTATCTTCGGGAACTAATTATCCTCTACCGGAAAGATTCTTGGAATATATAACATTATTTTTGACAATCAGCCATGGGCACTTATCATTGCTCTTTGTATAAAGGCAAAATATCTCTTGAAATTTGAAACCGTTGAAATTTTTAACCGGTGTGGTCTTATGTGTGCGTCCTTATTTCGATTCTCGTTTGCTTGATTTTTTTCCCTGAATTAATTGATTTATCTATTCTAGGCATCTTGGACAGCATCAAAGCCTAAGTTGGATAAGGATCCTCAAGGACGTGCCGCAAATCCTCATTTAGATAAATCCGACTTGGAGAAGCTTTTCCGGGAGCATGTCAAGTCTTTGCACGAGGTTAGCTTTTTTTTCTTTTTCCCCTCGTGTGAAGTCTTCCGAATTCGTTTTAACAAAAGAACAGTTCTTTCATTAACTAATTACTTTGGTATCGTCTGAATGAGGTTGATAATAGTGTGCAATGACAAAATGAAAAATAAAGAATTATCAGGCGACGTGTGATTGGCCAGATGGCTGAAGTAGCAAGAAATTTTTCTGTTCTAAATATAATAATTTCCTTTGTAGTAAATCTTTCTTTTACTATATAAGTAGAGGGCTATTTCAAATTCTTGCATACGAGTCTTGATAACAAAACACTTGCAATGGTTCTTGTGTCTTTCCTCCTCTCGTTGTACATATATGTAGCGGGTAAATTACGGCCACCCCCCTGAGGTAATTCCAAATTACCAAAAAATCCCTCTTGCTTGGGTAATTACAAGCACTCCCTCAGCTATGAATCTTCTTACACGTCCACCCTTATGGTGTCAAACTCAACATAACCTTCTAAATAACCTTTTAGATTCCGTGGAATGGTCTCTAGTTTGTAGTCGTTTTAAGGAAAAATACAGTTTCTGATGCACCACAATCTGATATTTATAAGCCAAAAGACACATCTTATGATCATCTTGTTTCATAACGTGGAGCGCGAATGGGGTAAAACGTGTACATACTAGAGAATATTCCACATAATCTAGAAGATTCCACTAAATTTGACACTGTAAGGGTGGAAGTGGAAGAAGATTCATAGTTGAGGGATGGTTGTAATTACATGAAGGGTTTTTTCATAATTTGACCTTACACCAGTGGCCGTAATTTACCCTATACTTAGCCTCTCAATTTTGTTTATATGTACAACTTATCCTTATTCAATTTTAACAAGCAACTCAGCCTCGGTTTTTTATTTTTTATTTCTTTCAATTGTCTTATTGGATTCCTTGATGATTGTAGAGATGCGTGGGGGAGTTTAGAGCTCTATTGACAGATGTCATAACTGCGGAAGCTTCAGCTCGAGAAACAGAAGATGGTAAAACCGTAATCACATCTTGGTCTACAGCTAAACAAGTCCTAAAGAGTGATCCTAGGTATAACAAAATGCCGAGAAAAGAAAGAGAGTCCCTGTGGCGTCGACATTCTGAGGAGATCCAACGTAAGCTGAAGAAAGATAGCGATCAAGGGGAAAAGCCCGTAGAAGGAAAAAGTAGAGCTTCTGCCGAACCTGGGAAACACTTGTCTGGTTCAGGTAGAACGCACCACAGAAGATAACTGCCCCTTTCTTTTCGTATCTTGTGGATCTTTTAGGTGAGTTGCAAGTTGTAATAACCTTCTGTGTTATTTATTTTGAGTTGGCTATGTATTAACTAACATGATTTTGCAATGTGAATTTTGCCATAAATAGAAGAATTAGGGAAATTTATTTGTTTTACATTTTTATTAGATTCTATTGTGCATATTTCGAATACTTTTTACATATTTTTCTGTGTAAATTGCACTTACTCCCCCTGTGGTTTGAACTTTGTGCATGACCCCCTTGTATTTTCGCCCCTCATGTTTCGCTCTTTTGATCCCTGTTGTTCCCAAGTACACATCAAAAGTTCAATTTTAAACATATTTAGTCCCCTCCTTTACATCTAACGGAAAACACTATTTTGGGCCCAAAATTGAAATTTAAAATTATTTTGGGCTAGAAAAGATTATAACTTTGACTATTATCTTAGGGAGAATTATACTTTTGGTCCCTTATGTTTGGTTCGATTCCACTTTTGGTCTCGCTTGTTCCAAAGCGAACAAAGTTCACCTTCAAGGTTCAAACCTTCAAGGTTCAATGTTAAACACTTTCGGTACCCGTCGTTACATGCCCGTTAGCAAGTAACGAAAAACCCTATTTTGGGGACAATTGAAATTTAAATCTAAACCCTATTTTGGGGACAATTGAAATTTAAATCTTTTTTAGGCTTGAAAATAATTAGAAATTTAAAATATACTACATATAATTAAATTTTTAATAATAAAAAAAGAAATTAACTAAACAAATTATTTTTATAATTAGAAACTCTCTTTAAATTTTTAATAATAAAAAAAAGGGTAAATAGCATTAAACCACCTAAACTTTTTAAGATTTTGCGGATCACCACCTGAACAATTTTTTTTTGCACAACTTCACCTATACTCAATTAATTGTGCCACTTTGCCATTTTTTGCCTTTTTGCAGGTCAAAATGACCGGTTCTCAACCCATGTGCGTCGCACATGACAAATCCAAGGCTATTGACGTCTTTTCCATTTTTAAAATTGAATAAATGTTAAATAGAATAATTAAAAAGTTAAAAAAAAAAAAGAAAGAAAAAAAAAAAAACAACAAAGGGCTTCGCCTTGTTCACCAGCAGAAGATTCTGATCCACCATAGATACTACTGCTGCAATTTTATTTTCCCTAATCATCACCGTCATCAGAACAAAAACGCCGCCATTTACAGCCCTAATTTCACATAGCTCCTCCTCATAAACTCATCAAGGACAACAGCGTTGGCGGCGGCATATCATATCCAACCACCCCCACCCTACTCATCTAACTCACAACTTTCATCAACCATTTCTCTCATGTTGCAGCCGCTCACCACGAGGAACCAGCTCTGCCCTCTTGCACAACAACGAAGCTCACCACCATCACCACATCTTCTTCAGATCCGCCGCTATCTTGACTGAAATTGGACCTAAAATTAGGTCAAAAATGTTCATTTAATTTCCCCCTTTCCCCAATTCAGGTTATATGAACACTATTTTCTCTCGATATCTTCCTCCGAATGGACTAGATCTTCTTCCAACGAATGGATGATTAGATGAGATTCTCACAATTGAGGCCGTCCCATGCCGCGGCGGAGGTGTGCGGCGCTCGGCCGTGAGATCGGGTGTGCGCAGGTGGGCGGTGGGTGGTGAGATTGGTGCGACGGCAGTGGTAATCCTTGAAATTGCAGAGGCGAGAAAGTATTTATGTCAGTGGTGGTTTGTTCGGAGTTTTCGGGCCATGGGTTCAAAATCAAGGCAGAGTTGCTGGGAACAAGATGACGTTTTACTTTTTCTTTTTCTTTTTTTAATTATTCTATTTAAGAAAATTCCATTTCAAAAAAGAAAAATAAAATAAAATAAATTAATAAAAATTAACATTTATTCCATTTTAAAATGGAAAAGACGTCAATAGCCTTGGATTTGTCATGTGCAACGCACATGGGTTGAGAACCGGTCATTTTGACCTGAAAATAGGCAAAAAAGGGTAAAGTGGCACAAGTAATTGAGTATAGGTGAACTCGTGCAAAAAAAATTGTTCAGGTGGTGATCCGCAAAAACTTAAAAAGTTTAGGTGGTTTAATGCTATTTACCCATAAAAAAAAAATTAACTAAACAAATTATTTTTGGTTTACCGAAACTCCTAAATTGTAGGTTAACTAAGTAGTAGTTTCGACATATGTGCTCGAGTCTGACAGATTCAAGAACACGAAGAGTTTGTCGCAGAGGTCGAATAAAAGCAGCACCCCATCGCAAACGTGCAAATGTCACAGAGGTCGAATAAAAGCAGCACCCCATCGCAAACGTGCAAACATCGTAAACTCTCCAGCTATAACTTTCATTACTTGTACAGTTTGGAGTTTCCGGTCCTCTAGTTTAACCCAAGAAAACGTCTCTTCGGAATGTAACAACTTGCGTAGAAAAAGATTGTGCGAGCTTGAAGTTTTAGATACTTGGAGATGCGTACGGACGAATATGGGAACGGACTTGTTCCCTTAACAACGAACTGTGCGGCCTTAACTCTTTTCCGTCCCTCGTCATAGTTAAGTCAGCCTCCCCGAAAGTGTTGCGAAAGCTAAATGATAGAAAACGAACAAAGAACTTAAGAAGATAATAGAGTTTTGTAGGAAAGTACTGTATTGCTTGAATGTCTTGGATTTACAAATGAATCTCTACTCCTATTTATACTAGGCCACCTTATTAATGGAGGTGGAGATCTACTTGATCTAAGTGCTAGGAGTTGTTCACTAGAACACTCCAAATAATTCCTACAAAATATCTACAAGGGGAGGGTTCTAGAAAGTTTTCTAAAATCCTCCGAGAATATATACAAGGGCCTATTTACATTTGTGCCATTTTGGGCCTAACCCTATTTGGGTTTAGTCTTAGACTCTTTAACCCCCTCAACCCAAGGGAATCTGACAAAGGGTTGTGCCAAAACTGGCGAGCCATGACAACACGCTTGATTCCGTTAGTTTTAACGGAAATTTGATGAAAATGACTAAAAGTGCTAAATTTTTGAAACATAAGGGACTAAATCTTTTTCTTTTGAACATGGGAATCAAATGTAAAATCCGTGCAAACTTGAGGAAACTGTATTTTTCCCTTTTATATTTGGTCCCTCATGTTTCTATAATTTAACATTTTTTGTCATTTCGGCTAATTTACCGTTAGTTCGTCAGTTAAAGCAGTCATATACACACGCTTCGTTCCGTTGTTACTCAAGGAAAATTAACCATAAGGATGGAAAGTGACGAATTTTTCAAATATGATGGACCAAATGTAGTTTGGTGTGAATATGAGGGAGCAAGTGTGAAATCGGTGCAAACTTTTGGGATGAAAACTGTATTTTTCCATATATACGTACTATTTAGTTCTCGTTAAATAATTTAACAAAATTCAGTTCAAATCTTGTTACAAACTAGTGAGAAAATTACAGTTTATGTCCCTCGACTTTACCACTAAAATGATTTATGTCCTTAAATATTTCAATCCACGAAATATGTCCTTTAACTTGCCAATTTTGATCAGTTTATGTTCTGCCGTTAACGCCGGCAGCTAACTTCGACGGAAATAACACGTGTGGCTCACGTGACGTCTATGAGGTCGTTAAATGTCGAGCTGGACAACACCCAGTGTCTACTTGGCCGATGAAACGTGATGTGGAGCGACACATAAAATCTCTTCCCCTATTTCTATTCTAAAATCCCTAATTCACCATATCCCCAATGAACCCGTAAATCCAACCTCTAAAATTCCATTTCGAATCCTTCAATTGAGGTGAAATTCGAAAATAGCAGAATCGTCTTCTCAAGTTTTTGAATGTCCGCGTAGTTAAAGCTTATTATTTAGGTGTTTGAGGAAGCTAAAAAATCGGAAAAGAAATAAAATAAAATAAAAACAAAAAAAAAAGCAAAAAACAAAAATTAGACAAAACAAAAATCACATTTTCACGTAATTTAACAACATAGCTATAAAGTTAAGGATACTTACTGTAGTTTGGAGTCCACTGAAGGCCGGATTCACTCCTTCTTCACATTTTCTTCTCCATAAATCACCCAAAGCAGCGCGGCGTCTTAGAAGGGTAAAACTCTTCAAATGTGAGAATGTTTGGATTTTTTTATGGGCTTATGACTTCGAGTTTGGTATGGGTTCGACCAAGAATGCGGATTGGATTGGAAATTTGGGAGTGGGTTGAGGAGATTAAAATTGTGAAGTGTGGAAAATTAGGGTTTATGGGAATGAAACTGTGAATTGGTAATTTGGGAGAGTGAGTTAGAGGGAATTAGTATATTCGTGTGCAATGTCAACATTTAATATTCAATATATTATTACACATCACATTTAACGGCCACATAGACGTCACGTGAGCCACACGTGCTATTTTCGTCGAAGTTAGCTGCCGGAGTTAACGGCAGAACATAAAGAGATCTATGTGGCAAGTTAAATGACATATTTCGTGGATTGAAATATTTGAGGACGACATAAATCATTTTAGTGGTAAAGTTTACGGATATAAACTGTAATTTTCCCCAAACTAATAAATGTTATTAAATGCTAATAACATTTAAAGGGTTGTGTGTTTAAAAAAGAAGGGTAAATTACAAACACCCCCCTGAGGTATGGTCAAATTACAAAACCCCCCTCTTGTTTGGATAATTACATCTACCCCCTCAACTATGATTTTTTTCTTACACCTCCACCCTTATTGTGCCAAATTCAATATAATCATCTAGATTTCGTGGAATGTTCTCTAGTTTGTATTCATTTTGTGTAAAAATACAGTTTTCGATGCACTACGTACAAACTGATATACACAAGCTAAAAATCACATATTATGATCATCTTACTTCATAATGTAGAGTTTGAATGGTATAAAACGGGTACAAAAGTGATAATATTTCATATAATCTCGAAGATTCCACTAAATTTGAAGAGTTGAGGGGTGGTTGTAATTATCCAAACAAGAGGGGTGTTTTTGTAATTTGACCATACCTCAGGGGGTGTTTGTAATTTACCCAAAAAAGAATGTATCATGTGGTCTATTTTGTAACTTATTTCAATCAATTGGTTTCAACGTAATATAGTTTTCATTATGTATTGAAAAAAAAAAATTCGTCCCTCAAATTTATCTCTATTTCATATTTGGCCCCTCAAGTTAAGAAAAATAGATTTAATTTAGTGCTCGTGTTTCAACAATTTAACCATTTTGGTATTTTCCGTTAATTTACCATTAGTCCTTGAGATAATACAGTAATGGAAACATGCTTGACTCCATTAGTGCTAACGGAAAATTGACGGAAATAACTAAAAATTAAAAGTTTGAAACATAAGGGACGAATTTTGTTTCATTATGAACAATGAGGACCAAATATGAAATTAGGGTAAACTTATAGGACGAAAAATGTATTTTCCCTTATGTTATTTATTAAAATTTAAAGAGAGTGCTCTCCGCAAGAAAACCATTTGTTGCCCATAGAAAACTGACGTGTACAACAAATAATCTTATAATCTTTTGGAGTAAGTAATGGTTCAGAGTTATGTAGTACCGACACTTCAATGTCTTAATGTTTCCGTGTTTCAAACATATTTTGTGCCCGACAAAGACACCTAATGGACACCTTATGGGTCATTTAGCAATTTTTAAAAGTTAGAAAAATGTTTGAATAGGAAATTTTCAAATATTTTTGTTGCTTGTATGAAAATATATAAAAAAGAATTTATGTATAAATAAAATAAGAACTTATATATGTTTATATAGAATATTTATAAATATATCCTTATACTTTTAATATTTACATGTTTTCCCCAAACTCTCATTCCCCATTTTTTGGATATTTCGTTTCCCCGAATCCGTTTCCTCTATTGTGTGTGTGTGTGTGTGTGTGTGTGTGTGTGTGTGTGTGTGTGTGTGTGTGTGTGTGTGTGTGTGCGTGTGTGTGTGTGTGTGTGTGTGTGTGTGTGTGTGTGTGTGTGTGTGTGTGTGTGTGTGTGTGTGTATATATATATATATATATATGGGGGGAAAATACTGTTTTTGTCCCTTAAATTTGCACTTATTTCACATTTGATCCCCTCAAGATCGCAAAAAACACATTTGATCCCTCATGTTTCAAAAATTCCACCTTTGCAGTCATTTCCGTCAATTTTCCGTTAGTTTTGACGGAATCAAGCGTGTGTCCGTCAATGCCTTAACTGATGGACTTGACGGATATGACCAAAAGTGTTGAATTATTGAAACACGAGAGACCAAATGTGTTTTTTGTAACTATAAGGTAATCAACCATATGTGAAATCAATGCAAACTTGAGCGATGAAAACTGAAAGTTTTCCGTATATATATATATGGCTTTGGTGAACTTAACATATGAAAAGGAACTTAACTAAAACGTAACGAAATCAAGAAAGTAAATTTCAAATATATAGATTAAGAATACATACTTAGATACTCTCCGGAAACGGAACCATTACATCAACGCAAGCTAAATCCGCGTCGTCGACTAGTTCAAACGTCTTCGCCCAAGGACTGTAGAGCGACATCGAACGCTTCGACACAATCAAAACCTTATTCTCCACAAAACACTGCGGCTTAAAGCAACTAATCGGCTTCTCCACATTCTCAATGGTTATCACATTCATCCAATTATTAGTACTATTGCCACACCCTTTTTCCTTTGCCCAGATCTCAACCCTAGTTTCGTCCTCCCCGTTTCGATACAAGCACAAGAAACCCTTCCAAATAGTCAAATGAAACGATCTATCGTCGTCTTTTAAATACTCCGGCTTCTCCAAAACCCTAAACTCGTCGTCTCTCGGATCAAAATATACTATTTCCGTACAATTATCCCGCTGCATGGCCCAATAAACAACCCCATCAGCACATACTCCACAAAAATTCATCAATTCCGAAGAACCATGCGTAGTTTGATCGTCGAATTCTCTTACATTGACGATATCTTTATCCCTGGTTGAAAAAACGAGGTAGTGGCTTCTGTATACGATAACAGCCTTAAAATCGCCGGTGATCGGATTGTGACAAAGTCCAAAGTTCAAACGAGACTCAAATTCAATCGGGGAAGAGAATTTCGTCTCGGTTCTTTTTGATGGATTCCACAAGGTGAAATTCCTGTACCAGAAGTCGGATAAGAGAAGAACGCCGTCACAAACGCAGAGGATCGTGTTCCATTGATCCGGGCCTTTGATTTTCTCGACGGTTATAAACTTTCGGCCTTCCAATTTGACAAGAGAGAAGAAGTTGTGGTAGCCGAGTGAAATCTTGGCTAGGAAGAGATTTTGGACGTTGGAAAACATGGATAGGTGCCGATGGTTTCGGATGAATACGGGATCGGAGATTATCGTATTCCATGACTTGCAAACTGATTTGAATCGAAGAAGAGACTTAACCGGTAATTTCGACAGGATAAATTCTATCATGTCCGCTGGAAGATCAACTGGTTTTTCTTGTTTTGCATCCATATATGGTTTTTTCTTTTTTCCTTTTCTTTTTTCTTCCGATCTTTTTTCTTCCGAGTTTGTGGGATTGTTTGTTTGTTACGTTGTTGATTTATATATGGAAGAGGTGTTCTAATTTGCGTGGGATTTAAATAGCTGTGTTGATGAATGGCCGAGAAGACATGTTTTAATTAAGGCAGCGACTATTTGCAAGACGAAAATTACTTAGGGCAAGACCAATTTAATTTTTTTTATTAAATTCAGTATAAAAAGACTATAATAATCTTAATAAAATACAAACAAAATAAAAATTATTTTATTAATTTCCTCAATTTAAAAAAAGAAAAATTAATAAAAAAAGAAAGGAAAAAGAAATTGAATTGAGAATTGAAAAACGAGGAGGGAAGAAGGAAAGAAGAAAACAAACAAATCAATTGCAGCACTCAACCGTCGCCCCGTCGCCCCGTCGTCGTCGCCGTCGCCGTTGAAGTCCACCACCTCCCCGTCGCCGTTGAAGTCCGTTGTTGCCCCAACCCCGCCACAACATCTCACGAAAAGCAAGTAAGGAAATTACTTTTTGAATTAACTTTTTCTTGAGGAATAAGTGTGATAAACATGATTTTATTGTTAGAATAATGAATTCAAGTTATTTTAGAACATATAGTTGATGATTCTGGGGTTCGATTGTAGCACTATTGTTGAAGGAGTTGCGATTTTACGAAAAACGACCTGTACTTGTCGATTTTTTGGAAAAATTTCGACACACCAGCGTCGAAATATTCGCTACCAGAATGTCGAAAATTTCAATATAATTCGACAGTTAAGGAGTGTCGAATTATGTTGCAATTTTCGACACTACTGTGTCGATATTAACCGGATATTTCGACCTGTACATGTCGAATTTTTTGTGCGTGAAATGAGGTGCGAAAAACGAGAAAAACGATCACAAAGTACAATATTTCTTACCTCTTTGTGTTCTTCGACCTTAGAATCCTCCATATTTATGTCTTGTGTATCCATAATGTCCTTCTTTTCAAGTTTTAGTAAGATTTGAGGGTTTTATGTGATAAGGGTTTTGGAGAATATGGAAGATTTTTTTGTGGAAAAAAATGTGTAAAATGAGGGTGAAGAAGAAGATGTTGGTGTTTTGTTGGGGGAGTGAGTTCCCTCTCTTTTTTCCTTTTTTTTTTATTCTTTTTTTTGTATATTTTTTTTGTCTTGCAATAGCAATTAGCTTAATTTAAATTAATAATATCTAAATTATTATTGGGGTTATATTTGTAATTTATAGTCTTGATCTTAGTAAAATTATTTATATTTTGGTCTTGCATGAAGTAAGGTCTTGCACTTAGTAATTTTCGTCTTGCAAATATTCGCTGCCTTTAATTAATTTGAGTAGGTAGGATTTAAATTGCCGTGTTGGCCCTGGAAATCTCGTTTTCAGGTCCCTCAAATTTGCACCAGTTTCGTATTTACAAAAAACACATTTGGTCCCTAATGTTTCAACTATTGTTAGTCATTTTTGTTAATTTACCGTTTTAATCCTATAGAACAAAATAACATTTGGAATCCACCGAAAACTCTGGATCCACCAGAAAATAAAGAAAACTCTAAAGATTTTATTAAAATTCGAAATTCTTCTCAAAATAAAGTCCTAATGCAACTATTTATACTAAAAACTGAAAACCCTAATTAAACTAAGAAAATACTAAAAATTACCAAAAACGGCAAAAACAAGTTAGAGTCTCGTCTCGTGGGAACAACCCAATTTACGGAATCCTAATCAGATTTTTCTATGATTTGATATTAATTTTCTAAAACTTGCCCAAAATAGCAAAAACGAACTTTTAGGAGTCTAAACGACGTTGGATTGCTGAAATTTGACGTGATTCATAAGCTTTGCTCATGAGTTTTGTTCCTTGCGCCGTTTCACTTGAGATAGAATTCGTTTCGTACTCAAATACAATTTGAGTTCGTCGAAAACCCTTATTTTTCCATAATTTATTTCGGTATCTCCACCAATGCCCATCAATAACTCTTTTCTGAATTAAATAGTTATTTTGCAATTCGAATTCGATTTGACGTTCCTTATCAATAATATACAATTTATTTGTGATTTTGTTCGACTATCCAGTAACTTGTACTGCATAACACTTGATACTGTATGGGCAAAAGAAGAAAACACTTGATACTATTGAAAGAAAAGCTAAACTATATGCAATACAATGTTTGGAGTAAGCTGTATTATTAGATCATAGAAGGAATTCGCGTACGCGTACTGGTCTCTTGACTGCATTTGTAAAGCCCTACGTACACCAAGATAAACGAAAACATGTCAGAATCATGTCGGCAGTCAAAATATTAGTGGATATTTCGTCCTTGAGTTCGATTTGATGGCGCGAAAGGTATTAGCATTTATTTCGTACCTCGTTAAACTTGAACAGCAAAGGGTGCGAATCTCTCTGCGCTATACAAGACTTCTGCGCAACCTTGTTCGTAATTTGAGAACCTTCTTTATTGACCTTTTTGAACCTGGTCAACATACACAAAAATATCATAAGATTCCTTTTAAAAATAGTAGTATCGAAAAAACATATCATGAATTAGTTCATCGTACAGTGGAACCTCCATAAAATTAATAACCTCGCTGAAATAATACTTTCTTCTGGTTCCAACTCGGTAAAAACGTATTAAATTATTAGTTCGATAATTTAATATTTCGCTAAACTAATAGAATTTTTTTAACCCCGACTGTATTAATTTAAAGAGGTTTAACTGTAATTATCTTTTGTATTACAAAAAGAAACTGGAAGCAATATTATAATTCATAAAAGGAATGAGAGCAAAGGCTTAAATACCGAGCAAAGTAATCAGTCTGGACACCAGAATGTTTTTTTGTCCTTTGAACCGATTTTACTTCATCGATAGCAGATTTGGATGAGAGAGAGAGTCCTGATTTCTGTATTTTCGTCTCGGCAGATCCATTTGTGTTAGTAGATTTGAACGGCAGTCGACTTTCGGTGTTACTCCTTGTCAAGGCATCGTGTTCGTCCGTGTGCAGTTGGGTAAATTTGGAGAGGCTACTTTGCATAATCTTTTGCTTTTCCACCTGCAAGTTATTTCAAATTATACTATATAATTTCACCGCAGTTATCTAAATTGCGATATAGAGATTCCACTAATTCATTCAGGAATGCTTTGAGCTAAGTATAAAAAAATGCGACGAAAATAATCTGTGTAGCACAACATGGTTTCTATCACTTACCTCGTGAACCAGGACCTGCTTCACCGCTGACGCAAGATTAACGTGACATGAATTGTAAGCCTGCGAGAGAGACAAAATAAATAAAGGTGATGGTTTCAAAGAACAATACCGAGTGTTTTCGTAAATTACATACAGCATTATTTGCATGATTGACATATACTAACCTTGAACTGTATAAATTCACTGAGGGGCGGGTCGAGCGAAAGTGTGGTTGCATCTGAAGAATCTTCATGTCTGAAAGTAACGGAGCGATCAGATTTTACGTTCTTGAATGTTATAGCATACGAGACCATGTTCTTTACTAACTGCCCCAGTTCATTCTTCTCTTTGTCCGAAAGCAAATGCAACGCCACCTGCATATAAAGAATGCACTTATAAATAAATAAATTATTAATAAACTGCCAAAAACCAAGCATATAAGCTTGATTACGTGACAATAACTTGCAGTTATTTTGCTCATCAGTTTTTTTTTATTTTCACACATAAATTACCGGTCTTAGGGTAGGTGGTGACAAAATATGCAGCATCGGGGAAATCGAGTCTTCCACAAATGATTTGGTAGACAAATGCCTCGAAATATGCGGCGATATTCTGTTGTGCCATGTTTGGAACATGTCTGCCCTTTCAGCCAAAAGCGTTCGCTGTCTGTCGAAAATAATTTTGACATTACGCAAAGGTACAAGAAAACAGTGGGGAAAAACGAAGAACCGGAGGTAATATTGTACCTGTAGAAAGACTTTGGCCATTCAATATCTTTTCTCTCGAGTTGAGCTACGAGACCGTGTATGCATATTGCAATTGGAGGCTGATAAACTGCGGAAAGCAATTCAAAAAGCAAACTTAGAACCAAATTAACGAGATTTAAGGGGATTCGACATTTGCCGACGACTAGAAGCGCATTCATTACCTTGAAGAGCCATTCGTTGTGTACGCATTACGTATCGATGAGTAATGTCAGAAATTAGCAGATTATCCAGACATTTTACCTAAAAGAGACGATTGGTTAAAAAATTCCTTAACGAGGTGAGTAACAAGTTCAATTGAACTAAGTACTAAGGCCCCGTTTGGTTGGCAAAATAAGATTAGCCAAAATAAGATTAAATAATGTAATGAAACCCAATTATTTTATTGGAGCTTGCGACGTCCAAAACAAAAACTCATTAGAAGGCAAGATAAGTCAAGATAAGCCATGATTATATAATTTTGGCGGGTCGACCCGGCAATTTATTTGGGATACCAAAGATCAAATTAAGTCCAACTATTTAGTTAATCATGGCTTATCTTGGCAACCAAACGGGGCCTAAAAGTTTAAAAGTCACGAGACTTACGGTCTTTTGCATCATGGGATCAACATAATTGAGCTGCAAAATATTTTCGTGAATCCCATCCATTATTAAGTCATAGTCGCCGCTGGGATGGTAAAGAAAACAAGACGTAATCTTCGAATTGGACTAATTGAAGATTAATATAAAAAATTAAGAAAAAAAATTCCTACTTACCGGTTAGATATCACAGAGTAGAGAAATTCAAAGTCCTTGGAGTTGCTGCTGCTAGAATTATTAGATTTTCTGTCCCGTTTGCCCTTTCTCTTTTGGAATATCTTTGTAAAAAGAAGAAGAAAATAGGCGAGTGAGGATGATAAGTGAAGCACAAGGCCGTGAGATTTTCGGAAATGTGAAACCATTTATTGAACTTACCTCTTTCCATACATCGAAAGCAGTTTTTGATGAATCCTTCCGACCAACCACTTGTGCACTTATCTCCAACTTAAATAAAAAAGGAAAAATTGTCTCAACAAAGTTGACAAAAAAATACCATCACAAAACGT